AATAGTCCCCTCCCCCAAAAATCACCTCATCAGGTCCACATTTTTTCGAGAGCCGATTTCTTGGTTCATTTTGTTGTCTTCTTCAATGAAACCAAGAACCCATAAGCTTCCCGGAGATGCGAACGAAATCAATTAAATACATACAGCGGGTATCAAATGACGGAGTACACAACTGCCGGTGCTATATATATATATATATATATATATATATATATATATATATATATATATATATATATATGCTGAGGAACCAGGGTAAAATAAAAATAGTTGAACATATCCTTATCGATATGGTTAAGAGATGTTTGGATGTAAATGCGCATCGTTTTTATTCGGAATCGATTCGCAAAAACAGCGCATGAAATAGTTTAAGGCACGAGCGTTCGCAGCCCTTAGGAGCAAACGCACCAGCGCCGGACGTTGCAGCCCCCACAGGCCGCGTGGCGTTGACCTCGCAGCTGACACCACGCTGCGGAGACGGACTAACCTCGCAGCTAACACCACGCTGCGGAGACGGACTAACCTCACGGCTAACACCACGCTGCGGAGACGGACTAACCTCGCAGCTAACACCACACTGCGGAGACGGACTAACCTCGCAGCTAACACCACGCTGCGGAGACGGACTAACCTCGCAGCTGACACCACGCTGCGGAGACGGACTAACCTCGCAGCTAACACCACGCTGCGGAGACGGACTAACCTCACGGCTAACAACACGCTGCGGAGACGGACTAACCTCACGGCTAACACCACGCTGCGGAGACGGACTAACCTCGCAGCTAACACCACGCTGCGGAGAAGGACTAACCTCGCAGCTAACACCACGCTGCGGAGACGGACTAACCTCGCAGCTAACACCACGCTGCGGAGACGGACTAACCACGCAGCTAACACCATGCTGCGGAGAAGGACTAACCTCACAGCTAACACCACGCTGCGGAGACGGACGGGCGGGAATGACCATACATCGGACAATAGTACTTTTGTATGCTTTATCAAGTCTGTCTTACGTGTGGAAGATAGTCCTAGATGGGTGTATATTTGGGCGGCATAATTTTCAGATCGGTGGCCAGACAGGATCAGCACTGGCAGTGCCACGAGGCACTGACGTAATGGTGGGATTGCTGTCGTTCGTGCTGCTGCACCTGCCAATCCATTCAGCAGGCCAACCTTGAAAGCGACTCGGTGAAACAAATGTCCCAGTCTAACGTCAGTCCGATGCGAAATTTTGAAAGGTTTTCGGAGGCACGAATTCCCGACACGTGGTCGGTCTCACGCGCCCGCCATCCGGTGTCAGCTGAGCGGTCAGCGCCGCTCGGCTCGACGGAGACCGCAACGTCAAAAAGCGTTACTTTTGCTCGTAGAGGTTGCGGATGTAAGTGCCCAAGGCTTTTCTGAAAACGGCGGGACGTCTGCAGGCAAGCATCAGTTGGCCAGATCTATACACATTTTTACCTCGCTTCAATCCACACTATTGAGCAGCAAGGGCCCTTGCCTTTCCAAGGCGGGAGGCCGATGGGAGGAACTCTTGGGGCACATTACGTCGCCCAGTCAGGGCTGGAAAACCTTTACGCCTCAGTCTGGGGCACTCGCTGTCATTCTGGTGGTACGCGGTTATTTGACCCTTGGTCGACCCAGAGACCCCGGGCGATACACCATACACTGGTCTCCTTCCTCCCACGCGGGGCCCTCTGACCGGGGCAGTCGACCCTGGGCCGACACAGGGGCTCCCCACTGACGCACAATAATCCTTGACGGGCATGCAGGGTCAAATAAGTGGCAGAGTGACCCTTGCTCGACAACCAAATCACGTTCCTCGACGACACGGGCACAAGAGCCCCGCTCGAAACCAGGGCCGCCGACTGACACAGGGCTGTTCCACTATCTCATTGTGGACCACTTCGTTGTGATTTTTCACATCTCCTTTCATTATCAGAAGGCCTCGATCAACGCAAGAGGCCCTCTGGCACAGAGGGTCTAGTCCCTGTCCCTGTCCATAAACGTGTTCATGGCCGACTCGCGGCCCCTTGCCGACACGGGACCCCTGTTAAGCACTATGGGCCCTGACTGACACAGGGAATGGGGGGGGGGGGGGGGGTCCCGCATTGTTTCAGGCATCCCGACCAAAACAAGGGGCACTCAAATCAATCGTAGGCACCGACCTTGTGCCTGTTTGGGAAATAGGCCCGGGGTGCAGGTCGAGACGGAACCGACCATTCGGCATCTCTGATCAAGCCATAGGCCCTTAGCATTCCAGGGCCTGATGGATTGCAAGTGGAGGGCCAACCCTGCGGACCGGAGTCCTTTAATACGATCTTCAGCTGGCCCTTACAATCCTCCAACAAGGCCACTAATCGTCGATCCCCAGGACAGGGAAGGACTCCTCGAGACCAAAGGGAACGCGTGCCGTCTGCCTGCCTGCGCCCTGGCCCCACTCAGCCGATTTCAGCTTCCTGGACGACATCCCCTGGATGTCTATTTGAAGCCGGGGCCTGTGGCTGCTGAATATCCATCGGGTCCCTGGCTTTCGAATGGCTCCCGAATACACCAAGGGCTTCTGTCCCCCATCCAGAATGCTCTCCACATGTCGGGAGGGCCTATGAACATGACCAAGAGAGTCGGGCGCATTTGATGCCTTCGAAAGTGGTGAGGTCCTTTGGCTAAGCCAGGGGTTCCCATGCATGTGGGATCTTACTGAAATTCAGGAGCGCCTGTGACTACTGGCCCCCGGTGACTAGTCACATCCAGAGATATTCTGCGCGTACACATCAGCTTCTGAGGGGCCGCTGGCCTCTCGGTTATGTTTGCATTCCAGTGTGTGTTGCTGATACCTTAATGTAACTTATTTATCCATTTGGGACATCTTTTCGAGCTCGTGGTCTTATCTAGTCCTGAATGCCTATTCTGAGCTCACGATCTGAGCCCACGATCAGCCTTGTCAGACATACAAGGGACCCTTCCTGAGTCCAAGGTGAGCCTATTCTGATAAGGGATGGACGATTTCCAGACCTAAAACCTGCATGGCCGTTTCTGGACGTGAAATGGACACTTTCTAGAACCGTGACGCGCCCTTCTTTACTTTAAGATGAGGGAAAAGGCCCCTCGACGATTCAGGAAGGAACCTTTTCAAGTCAGGGTAGGACTTTTATGATCTGAGATAGTCATTTCCTGGGCCTAAGGGGAGGGGGAGGAGGGGGTCGACCTTTTCAGACCTGAGATGATCACTTTCTCAGTCTAGAATGAGCTCTGCACTGCCTTGAAAAAGAGACCTCTCGTAGTTTACGACGGACCTTTCCCCGTCCTGAGGGACGCTTTCCAAGCGTATGATGGGCCCTTTTCGGGCCGGAGATGGACCCTCTGCGCCTGCTTAAACACAATAAGTAAATTAATTCCACATATCCAAGGTTCTCTTCCAGGCTATCTGAAATTATCGAATGGGATCAAAAACATACTTTAACATCCACCCCACAAGGTTCCCTTAATGTGCCACCGCTGTATATAGTCCATGGTAAAAGAGACATGCCGTTTGCACATTATGTTCGGCCACACAATTTGAAACATATACACAATGCTTGGGTTACAATAAGGTAAAATGACACCTGGTTTTAGCACTAAAATCGCGATTGTGGAAACTCTGCGAAATGGAAAGTGTTCTTCCTACGTACAAAAGCCCCACAGAAGGCAAAACCTGTACGAAATGGAGAATGAGTGAACAGCTTTGCATTAATCGCATTGTGCTGTCTTTGTGAGTTTTCTCGTATTAATCGCATTAGCATGCTGATCCTTATTGCCCTTGTTCTGGTCACTCGCGGTCACTCCGTGCCCTCCTGTAGATGACCCCTCCTCAGGACGCAGCGACGAAAACGAGCCCCCTCGCTAGTGTCGCTTCCTTCACCAGGCTTCATCTCCACCTGAAGGAAATCCTGGGCGCGTCGCAGCACGGGCCCCGGTGTACGCAGATGGGGCCCATTGGAAGTCAAGGGCTCCTCTGGCTGCTGAAGGTACATTGGGGCCTCAGGCAACCGACCGCTCCTTGAATCTTTCAAAGCCCCAGTTTCTACAGAGTACCATATACAAGTCTAAGGAATGTTTAGACGCGATCCAGAGCTCGGAGTGTATTCGATACATTTGGAGGCGGTCGGAGCCCTAGAGCCGGGTATAGGGCTCCAAACGCATTCGGGCCCTCCTTGAAATTCAGAACGCCCTGTGGTTTCTGCATGCTGGCCACCAGTCAGATCCAGATGTCCCCCAAGTGTATACATGAGGTTCTCAGGGGGGGATGGGGGCTTTCGGTCACAACTGTTAACTTCATATTTATCAGACTCGTGCGTCAACACGTTTCCCCTTATTCCACTTTAGCCTCCCCCCCCCCCCCTATTTCGGGCTCCTTTCCCAACCCCAGTGCATCCTTTCCGAGTCAACGATAGGCGCTCTCCTTATAGTATAGATAGTTTTGCCCCCGTCGGAAAAGATGGGAGACCGTTTGCCTTCGCTGCTCCCCCCCCCCCCCTTCCCTGAAACACCGCCGTTGGCGGCTGCAAAACAGCACAGCCCCGTGAGTCTGACCTGTGCCGGGTCAACGGTCCATCATCCAGCCCAGACATCTGACCTGTGCCGGGTCAACGGTCCATCATCCAGCCCAGACATCTGCTCTCCGCAGGTATGAACTGGACGAAACGAGTATATTAAATGCGACAATGCCGCGACATTTAAACACCCTTATCCCAAACAACACATGACGCTAATGGGTGCCAGATGACCTCGGCGATTGACGCTCCCTTGAAGCCATCAAGCAATAGCCATCACGCCATCCATCAAGCACACGTCCTGTGGATAAGATGGGCGGCTATTTCAAGGCAACGCGACCGAATAACACGGAATTAACGAAGAATTTGCGATTGTATGAAAAATCGTATTAAGAGGCGGTGGCATCGCGCGCGACAACTCTACCAAACCGCGGAGAAAAGGGCGGAAGAGAGCGCATGCGTACGGCTTACCCCGTCGGCAGAGCTGGGACGCGACAGTGACGGCTTGCTGCTCCATAACGTCATCCTGTTGCCCGCCGACGTCATCTTCTCCTCCGCTGAAACAGAGCCGTCGCCTCGGTCACCGCACTGCACATGGTTGGCGCGCGCCCGCCGCGGCCAGCCCCGGCGGCATGTGTGATGCCAGACTGGTCAGGCCGGCCGGGCGGCAGCCGGAGAGGCCGGCCGGCGCCGGCTCCAGCGCCGCGGGCCCGCACCGGTGGGCGGCCGCCGTCCGCCGGCCGGCCGCGCGGCGGCAGCAGAACGCCGCCAGCCAGTGCCGACGGAAGCCGGACGGCCACGGCCGGCGCCGCCCAATGGGCCGGCGACCGTGTCCCGCGGCCGCGAGCCGGCCGGCCGACCCGGGCCCACGGCTTGATCGCCGGCCAAACCAAGCATCATTGTATGGAGGGCAGGGCGGTAAATAACTGCAGCTCCGCGGCGCAGCGCCGCCCCCGCAGCCCGAGCGCGCCGACCGCCGACGGGCAGGGGGAGCCCCACGCCGCCGGGGGCGGCAGGGTGCGGCGACGCGCCGACAGGCGCCGCCTGGACGGCTCGCTCCTCGTCCGCAGCCGCCCAGCGCGGGAGGAGTGGCCGCTCGGCGCTCAGCCGGCGTCGCCGCACCACGCGGCGCCGACACGCGCGCCGCAGCAGGAGCGCGGCCGACCGGCGCCGCGGCGGCGCCGTCTCTCCGGGCCAAGGCCACGCGCCTCCACCGCCCTCACCGCCGCGTCCGCCTGCGTCCACCGACCGGCCCAGTGTGTGCGGCGCCAGGCTGAGGCCGGCCGCGCCAGGCTGGGCGCCAGGCGCCAGGTTGACGCGCCCACCGGCCGCGCTCCACGGCCGCCGACAGCGAGCCTCGGCCGGGCGCGCGCGCGCGCCGACCGCAGAGGGCCACTTCCCGGGGAGGCCGGCGAGGCGCGGTGTTCGCGTCTCGCCGGTTCGGCGAGCGATTTATTACCGACCGAGCGCAGTTCGGCCGGCCAACACAGATTAATGGCGCGAGAGGTACGCTAATCTGGCTACAAGCGGCGCTTTAAATCACAGTTCCGCGGAGTTCGGAGGAGGCCGCGCCGTCCGGACCAGTCGGGCCGCCCAGCTGCCCGGAACAGAGGGGAGGCACGGCCCTGGACCGGGATCGGCGCGTGGCCCCGTCCCTGGGGCAGGATAACAACGCCGAGCTTCGAACGTACTCCAGACATAAATATAGAGAGGAGCTCCCGCCCGGTTCCGGGTGGGCTCCCGGGGAGGATCACGGTGGGAGGCCGGAGATAGGTTTCAGGGAGGGCTCCGAGGGATTCAGGGTAGGAGCAGGGAAGGCTCACACCGCACTTGGTCGGCACGGAAAGTGGCGCGAGTGCACAGGCGCAGGGATCGTACGGAGCCCAAGCACCGGCCCATCCCAGTGAACAGCAATGGAGATGATGTACTGCGCTGGGGCTGAGGACCCTGCGCGAGTGTCCGAGATGTGTGCAGCACTGGGGGTACTTCCAAACATGTCCGCACGAATACTGTGCGCGGACCACAAGAATCGTAGACGATATGCGCCAAAACATATGTGTACTGCAAAAAAAGCAATACCGTATGCCTACGAAGTACGTTGCAAATCTATTTTAAAACATGTACCGCTCTCAGCTGTCTTTTAACACCAACAGACAAAGCTGAATGCCTGCATATTATCAATCCGTGTATTTTGCACGTGCGTTGCGTACATGTCCCAAAATCTGTACGGCCAAACCGCTGCCTTCTGACATCCCCGAGGGGTATCGGAAGTCGTGTGCTGCCGCGGAAAGTTTCGCATCCTTAAGGCAGTCCCCATCCTCGCTGCGGGCGAAACAATTCCGATCTACATCGCAGCGCCTCAACGAGCTGCCGCGACCACCCGACCAGATCATCAAACGAGTTTCTGGGCCTCAGCAGGTTCCCATGTTCTTGCCTTGTCTTTTTACATGGCCCGAACGGCGTTGCATCAGAGAAGGTGTGCCCGGGCCGGCCCGAGGCATGTTCGCAGCCCGCCGACATGTGATAAAGCTGCCATCCGCACAGATTCCACCCGCCGTGGCCGAGTGTCATCCTGTAACAAGTTCCAGCAAAACCGGGAGAGCGGCACGCAAGGTCGGCTCGAGAGGATAGCGGCCGCCGGTCATCGGCTCAGCGATGGGGCGCGGCGGTGCGGGACATGGGTGTCCGTACCGCGTGGGTCCAGCACCATCCCGTTCACGACCCGCCTTCACCCACGACGGGTGGGCGCGGTCGGGCCTCCGCGGGCACGGCTCGAGCCCGGTCGCATCAGACGAAACAGCAAACCTACACACTTTTGAATCGCATCGTGTACGGTCGAGGCTCTGAACTACGTCAACCTTGCTCTAATTTTTCATTTATAAGTCAGACACGAACGGAACGGGTCGATGAAGCTACGTTATTCGTGGCACGTATGCCCATGCGTCGCGATTTAACAGGATACCGGCTCAGGGCGCGACCTGAGGCGCCAGGCGCGGCGGCCGGCGGCGCGGCGCTTCCCACGGCCACCTCCGCGCGCCGGCCGGCGTCGCGGCCACTATCAGCGCCGTGCGTGACCGCCTATCTCGCGCCATCACGCACTCGGACAATATTGACCACCTCACCGAGAGACCGTCGCGGAGCCGGGACCGATACAGGCCTGGTCAGCGGTCTGAGCCGCGACGGTCTGCCGCCCAACGGCGCCGGCCTGTGGCCGACACAGGCCAGCGGTCTGGGGCCGAGGCGGGGCTGGTCTGGCGCCGACCGGAGCAGGAGTGGAAACTGCTGAGAGAGGCTGGTCGCCGCCGCACCAGCCATACCGCACCATCCGCCTCTGTCCGGGGGTGGCCGGTGACCGGTGCGCCGATAACCTGGCGCCGATATAGTGCACCTGTGGCACCACCCACTTGCAGGGTGGTCATCTGTGGCCGACGCAGTCATCCGTGGCCAGTAGTACACAAGTGACTTGTAACCGGTGCCGATGACGGAGAGAGCACTCAGCGAAACGCAGATGGTTTAGCGCAACTGGGAGAGCGTTCGAGCACGACCGTACCAGGCGGGTGATGGGTTTGAAACTGCCTGCCACGGCCTCTTGTTTCTCCACCTCCCGCGGTAACCAAAGCGCGAAACGTAGACGATGAGTGATTTGAAGTGTTGAATGCACCAACACACAAAATATTACTGTGATATAGGGCGGAAGTCCACGGCTGATACGCGGCTGACCTGCGATCGGGGCAGGATCTGTCGTGAGCTGAGGATCCAGGGTGGCGGCGGTGCATGGCCGATACGAGGGTGGTTTGTGACCGACGGAGGACTGATCGTATGTGGCCGATACGAGGGTGGTTTGTGACCGACGGAGGACTGATCGCATGTGGCCGATGCAGGCTAGCGGTCAGAAACCGATGGCCGAGACGAGGGTGGTTTGTGACCGACGGAGGGCTCATCGTATGTGGCCGATATGAGGGTGGTTTGTGACCGACGGAGGGCTGATCGTATGTGGCCGATGCAGGCTAGCGGTCAGAAACCGATGGCCGATACGAGGGTGGTTTGTGACCGACGGAGGACTGATCGAATGTGGCCGATACGAGGGTGGTTTGTGACCGACGGAGGACTGATCGTATGTGGCCGATGCAGGCTAGCGGTCAGAAACCGATGGCCGATACGAGGGTGGTTTGTGACCGACGGAGGACTGATCGTATGTGGCCGATACGAGGGTGGTTTGTGACCGACGGAGGACTGATCGTATGTGGCCGATGCAGGCTAGCGGTCAGAAACCGATGGCCGATACGAGGGTGGTTTGTGACCGACGGAGGACTGATCGTATGTGGCCGATACGAGGGTGGTTTGTGACCGACGGAGGACTGATCGTATGTGGCCGATGCAGGCTAGCGGTCAGAAACCGCGCTCGTCTGTACCGGATACGAGGCCTGTCATCTGTGGACCACACCAGGTCGTGGCATGCAGCCGACAGGGACGATGGCCAGTGCCCAACAAGGCGGTCTGCGGCTGCGAAGAGCCACACGTCTGCGGTAGTCAAGGTCTGCGGTGTCGGCGGATGGGCGGGCGCGGGCTGCAGCAGCACTGTCACCACCACACGCCGACCGAACCCATCGAGCTGCACCCCGCGGGGCGCCCCCCAGCAGCGGGCGTCGCCGGGCCAACACCAGCGTCGCCGGGCGGACGGCGGGGGCAGCCGCCACCGGCCAGAAGTGGGGGGCGGCGGCGGTGGCGGTCCTCCGACGCCCGGCGCCGAGGAGGGCTGCCGCGGCCCGGTGGCCGGTGGCTCTGACTGACCACAGACGCAGTCGAAGACCGGTCAGCACCAGCCCACCGCGGGCGGCGTACGGCGGCGGCAAGCGCCGTGCTGCTCACAAGTCCACTGTCGACCGTGAGCAACGCAAGGTAGAGGCAGATGGGTACGCACGAGACGAAGAGAACTATCAGAGAAGTGACATGAGGTCAGGGCCGGGAGTACAAAACATACCATTACATAACCCGAAAAACAGGCATAACACTTGCAGGCACAAAACGAAATTACCAATTTATAGACAACAATTTAGTTGCTGTTGCTGGCATTTATGCCGCCTCAAGCCCTCTAAGCCGCATCACCTGCTGGAAGCGGTTATAACGTGAGGCCAGCACCCCGGCGGACCGTGCATCCTTGACACACAAAGGCACAGCTATGCGCCAGTTCCCCAGCACCCTGTGCGCAAGCGGTTTGTCCATGCATCGAGCCGACAACCGGGCTTGGCATCTGCGCGATGAACCATGTTCCAGCCTCCCGGCTTTTTACAGCAGGCGGGACAGCGGACGGCCAGCAAGCGATGAGCGACGACTTCCGTCAGGTCTACGAGGACTGGCTCGCCAGATCAGGCAGAACCGGACAGCCCCTGGCACGGCGTGGCGCGGTGCCGCCGCCGCCTGGAAGGCCACTGTCGCGCCCCGGCGGTCGGCCGCGGCCGCCGCCGACCGCGAAACAGCCCCTCCCGAGAGCTGTCATTTTTCGCTGTCATAACACCGGCGGCTATTCCCAGCACCGCCCGACTGCCAGCGGCCACGA